GCGGCCTCGAATTTTTGCACTTCCGACACGGGCACACCATGAAACCGGTCCGTTGAATTGTAGGCACACTACTCGCTTGAGCCATGAAAATTTCAAGGCCGTTGAGAAACTCTTATGAAAACCCTCCATTTTCATCTTTACGACGATACATCCAGCGTCTGAGTTCGTATATATCGCCCATTTTTTTTTTCAAAAATTAAAAGTTTTTGTTTTTCTAAAATTTAAATTTTTTTTTTTTTTTAAATTTTTTTTTAAAATTTTTTCGATGGTTTCTTGGTCTGAGGAAGGGAGGGTATATATAGGAGATTATAGCAGCGATTTAGCGTCGATTTTGCGTCGAAAATTTAGCATCGAATTAGCATCAAATAAAGTTGTGTCGAATTACCATCGACTTAGCCTCGTTTTTGCGATTAACAAAACCGTCGCTACATAGGTAGGTGAAAACGTTTTTAATATGGCACCTACCTACCAAATTCGATGCAAAATTCGATGCTAATACGATGGTATATGTTCGACGCTAAATCGACGCTATTTTAGCGTCGATTTAGCGTCGAAAGGAGCCTCTATACGGCATTTTGACGCTAAATCGACGCTATATAGCATCAAATAGCGTCGATTTTATTCGTCCCTATATAGCATCAAATAGCGTCGAAAGTTTCAGGCGACACAATTACGACGCTAATCCGATGTTATTTTAGCGTCGAAATATTTTCGACGCATATATTTCGACGCTCAAATCGGGTTTTCTTGTAGTGCTTTAGATATTTGCCAATACTCCATAAATGCTTCTCGGTTTCTAGCTACGTGGTCTGTTGCTCCTGAATCTACAATTCACAAAGGATGAGTTTCTACAATCATCGCACAACTAGAAACATAAGCATATTTACATGTAGAGTCCAAGAATAATACTTTCTTTGCTTCAGTGCATTCACGAGCAAAGTGACCCAAAGAGCCACAATTGTAGCATTTAATTTTGGTTTATCCTTCTTTCTTCCACGTTTACTACGCTTGGCAAACTTCTTGTCTCTTAGGATAAGGTTGATTGGGAGCCTCATTTCCCTTATTACCTTTCTTGCGTTTCAAGCCTGAGCTCGAACCCGCAATGTTGGCCTCACTAAAGGGTATAGCCGCCTCTAGGCGCTCATCCTCTAACTCAAGTTGACGTGATATATCCTCAAATGTTTTCACATTAACATTGTGTGTCATCTGAACTTTCATATTGTCCCAACTTTCAGGTAATGAGCGGAGAACAGCTTGCACTTGCTGTTCATCAAAGATCGTCTGCCCAGCATTCTTGAGTTCTCTAATCATGTTTGACATGACTCTAAGATGCTACCTCATGGATTGGTTTGGGTGCTTCTTGTAGTCATTAAACCTTTGATTAAATCTCCTAAGTTTGGTAGCCGATGTGGTACCAAACTTCTCTTTCAAGGCTTCCCACATGCCGTTTGCAGTTTCATACTCCTCAAACTCAAACATGAGATCATCTTGAATGCAACTCAGCAACGTGATGCGAGCGATGCTATTCTTTCTTTTCCATGCAACATATGCCTCTTCATCTCTCCTGTGATGAGCTGTAGTACCCTGCTCAGGCTCTTCCATGAGATGGAAAAGAGTCTCTTTCACCTCTTGCTCTTCGAGTACATACTGGACTTTACGATACCAAATATCGTAATTATCACCATCCAGTTTGCCTCCTCGATTAAGCTCAGCAATGATGTTCTTACAAACTGACGACATGCCTGTTTGAACATTCAGAGACATTAATTTTTTTATTTGCATATTTCCAACACACAACACACAATTTTTTTTTTTTGCAATGGACACAAATTAATTAAAAGTAATTCAATTTATAATACAAGATCGAGAGTTCACTATGTTCCCAATCATCACCCGTATTACAATCTTATCACAACAAATTAACTTGTCCCACGCAAAAATTTTAAGTTCTAAACAAATTAGAACTCCCACTTGATCAATGCATTTTTCAATATGAATCAACAAATGAAACATTATAATACATACTGACAATTTTTATTAAAATTTAATATAATTTTAATAAATACTAATTGCATATTCAAACTCTCCAAAAAGAGACGAATCTAGCAAAATTTTATTTTTTAAATTTGGACTTACCAAACATATTCTATGAATAAAACAAAATATGCATTTTCAGACAAACCAGAATCTGACACGTGGCTGTTACTGTTCATCTTCTCCCTAAAGCATATAGTTTTACAGCAATTCGGCCGGAACTTTCGACCCCTATATCTCTCTGTATATAGACTTAAATTGCGCGTTTCATATATCATTAGAAAGATAATTTTAGCATCTTCATATCGATACCAAAATCGTGCGATTCCGATCATCGAGAAGAAAGATATGAGCGATACAAAAAATTCCGGTTTATTTACAATTTATCCAAATTCGTGCAATATTTTTCGGTTCTCAATGCGATAATTTCCAGAAACATTCAAGACAATATGAAAGACAGGTATGCAAAGTTTCAATTCATTTCATCAAAGAATCACGAAGTTACCATTTGCACCCATTCATATCATTAACCGATTTATACAATTCATCATGAATGAGCGATTCTAACACATAGATCTTTTTCTACATGATAACTAAGAACGTAAACATGTCAGAATCGTAATGCTCTGCTACCAATGTTAATCTTATATGTTAAACCGGAACACATACCTTGGCCGGTTTGGTGAAGAACTTGGCACGGATTCGACTGGAAATCGACGCAGAGATCGGGGTTGAGATCACAGACGGAAATCAACCACAAGCCACCGTTCAAATGCCCTTCTCCATTGATCTCTCGAAGCTTTCAGTCTCTAAACCGTTTTTCACTCTCTAGAGTTTTTTCTTTGTGTCAATTTTATGTCTCTCTGCAAATGTCCCTTATATAGACAACGAGATGACATAAACGAAAAGACACGATTATCATTTGTAAAGTTATGATTATTCAACATCTCAAAACTATCGGTTAACTAAACCGGTTCGCTATGCTGCGATAGAAGAGAATGTTGTGAAGTTGATCTTCACATAGGATCATATCAACATACCAAAATCAACATGTGGCAGCGTAAGCATCTTTTTACCCATCTCTTTCTTTGCATTCGATTTTTGGTTTTTACAAGATTGGAAATTTCTTAATTAGGAATTATAWACATTAGTAATATTCTTTYTTAACGGTGAAAGAATAATTTTACTAACGAGTTTAAAAGCTATAGTACTTTAGTTGAACCAGAGAGCATTGGATAACAACTTTAAATATTGTAACCCCACAAACAAGGTAAGGTTGACTCTTTTTATTTGCTATTTATTCGTTAGTTCGTTTATTGTTTTTGTTCATATGCATGATATTCCATATTCTATCAATTGTGATATTCTTTGAAGATGTTTTCAAGCCAGGTTCTTATGGTTTGTGTGATGCGTGGGGGTTCTGTTCTTCAAAAAAGTATATCTATTAATATAATTGATCTCTTTTGTTTCCTATGTTTTTTTGGATTTCATTATTTTTGTTTCGAAGAGAAGACTCCACCTTTACAAATGGTATGTTTTTTTTTTAAAGTTTTTATAGTTTTTTTTTATTGTTTTCTCTTTTTAGTTTCTTGGATTCGAATTTGGATATATCGAACCATTGTTTTCTACGTACAATTGTTTCATGTTTTTTTTTAAAGAACTAGAAAAATCCATCGGAACAGTTATATAGTCTGCTTGAGTTTCTTGGTGTTGTTATTGTGTGGTTGAGAGTTTTGATTCTTAGAAAACCAATTGTCTTTGTCTTTGGATAAACAGTGGACTTTTTATTAAAATGTGATTYTTAGCAAAAGTTAGATGTCAATGTATATACGAAATCTATTACATCCACTAGAGTGATAACGTTGGTCAGAATTAGCATCTGACCTTCTTGGTTTTGAAACAAAAATTTATTTTTTAAGCAAGCGTTCTGTATCTGAATGATTTTAATATCTTACTGATATTTTTTTTGGATTTTTGTTTAGGACATTTTCAAAGTATATTGATTCTTCCTTCTTCGACATATGATCTTTGGAAAGATTTACAAATGTTCTTTATGTCGAAGGTCATCTAATTTATGATTAGTTGTTGCTTTGTAACGTATTTTAACAAAATTTGTTTTTTTCTCATCAATTTTCACTTTGTTTTTGTCTTTGTTTTTGACTTCTCATTGAGATCTTTGAGATTGCATAATCTTGATTGATATCCTTTATAGCTCKGTTAGTGTACTACATCTCTTTTTGTTATACTGTATGTTTATTTTTAATTTTGTCAATAGTTAACTTCATGTTTTACTCGAAGTGTTTCATTATATGAATGGCTAATAGACGAACATTCCGGTCTTTGTTATTCATTAGATTATCTTTTTCGTTTTGTTTGGGATTCAGAGTCGAAATCTTGAAGGTTATTTTGTTTTTTTCCCAATTGTATAATGATCGTGTCAATTTATTTTTCAACACCTAATTCCC